TGTGTGTGTCTGTGTGTGTGTGTCTGTGTGTGTGTGTGAGTAATTGCATCAGACAGAACAATATATTCCCCATTTTGGATTAATTTGAACACACAAGCTTATTAATGTGTACAGATGCATCAGTGAACTAATTTTTCTTTTCAKAAGGCTTTCACATATTTCCTGCCATTTTTAAAAAAACCCTTCTAAATCTCCTTTTCCCCAAATAAAGCATGTTTTACTTCCTTTTCTATATAAATGTTTAATTATTATTTCCTTTTTATTCCTGTCTTGTCATATCTCAAGGCAAGATGTGTTTCTGACTGTACTCGATTTCCCTCCTCCTCCTCCCATATCCTCCTCCTCAAGATGTAAATTCAGTCTTGGGAGGCGCACTTGTTTAATAAGAAAGCATTCTTTAAGTGGCGTGGGCAGATAAAAATAAAAGTTACATCCTGAGAAATTATTCAGTGCTGTACTTACTCCATCCTTCTTGTCCCTTTCAAGGGCTCCATTGAGGAAATCCATGGCAACGTCTTCATTCTCATCAAGCCACTGAATGACAAATGGCTCGAACCACCTAAAAAAATCCATTTTCTGTTAATGTAGATTGACACAGTTTTTTTTTTAAACCAAATAAGTCGGTCTATTTTTTGAGCCAATACTAAGCACTTGTTACATAAATTTTGAATGTTGGGGTCACAAACTCAGAGTGTTACTTTTACTGAGATCAAGCTTTTGCGTGTAATCTAAGGAGTTTAAAACAACTTTTAATTTATTTTGGGTATGCTTTAGGTGTTTTAGGTATTTTTTGATGGGGACCATTAGTGGTTAAAACATGTGGAAACATTAGAGATAGGGTGAGGAGCTCAGTTATCCGGGAGGGACTCAGAGTAGAGTCGCTGCTCCTCCACATCGAGAGGAGCCAGTTGAGGTGGTGAGGTGTTCCGGGCACGTCCCACTGGGAGGAGGCCCAGAGGAAGACCCAGGACACGCTGGAGGGACTATGTTTCTCGGCTGGCCTGGGAATGCCTTGGGATTCCCCTGGACGAGCTGGCCCAAGTGGCTGGGGAGAGGGAAGTCTGGGTCTCTCTGCTTAGGCTGCTGCCCCTTCGACCCGATCCCAGATAAGCGGCAGAAAACAGACGGACATTAATAAAAACTGATTAGTAAACTCAAGAGTAGAGGGATTTGGGGTTAGTTTTGATTAAGGAAAGAGTACCTGTAGGTTTGATTTCAGCTTGTGGAGAGATTAGATGTTGAGGCTCAGAGGACAAATGGAGCAGTGACATTTGCTGGCAGAACTATTATGCAGTTCTGATTTGAACTCTGCCATTCCCTTGTTTAATGTTTCCCCTGACTTTGTCATCAGAGCAATGGATGTCTCTGCAAAACGCCTCTGTGCTCCAGCTAAGGGCAGCTTCTACTCAGGGGAAAGCCAGTAAAACAGGCGGGTGTGATGACAGAGGAAACACAGACAGACCCACATGTGTCTAAGAGTTGGTGTGCTTGTATAATCTGCAGGCCATGCCTCTAWAAGAATCAATCTTGCTCGAGATGGTGTTTGAGTGACAGCGTTGGAGATGAGGCGGGTGAGTCATTAATCTGATAGACTGGATGGAAGAGGGCACAGCAGTCCGCTCCTGCATTACACATGTTTATATTACAGCAATCCTTGCTTTGCTGCACAAGGTTATACACGCAAAGTGAAAAACATGCTTTTAAGCTGTAAAAAGCATCCCCATCATTCAAAGCAAGCAATGAGCARCCTGTTTATTGCCATGCCAACATGAACCACTAGCAAAGATGATGTGGGCATAATAGTTTTRCAGATTCTATTTTAACACAGGAAACCAATCAGACCTGTTGTCTCATTTTCTCTTCTAATCGTTATTGAATTTCTTTTGCTTTTGGGGTTTGTAACTTGCATACTGTACTTGTTCAGATTAACAGATTATGGGGGCAAGTTATGATGCATTTAACATACTTTTTTCAGGGAGGGCTTTTTTTCTTTCTTTCTACTGTGTGATGCCAATCTACACGCTGCACGCATTACAGCTTGGCTTAGTAAAAATAAAATACTGGAGGCAAAACTACCCTGTCAGCAGTCCAGACCAATAACTAATTTGCATCATTTAACACATTAGAAAATTAAAAAATACAGTATGAAACAAGGGTGTAAAATGTACAGTAATTATTGAGAAAATGTCAGACTCCAGTACTAAAATAGCTGATAGCTTTTATTTCTATCTACTGACTATAATACAGCCAAACTCATTCCTCCTTTGTCATATGCATTAACTTTTAATGTTAAAGTAATATATTAAATAATGTATGCATTGATATTATTACAATCAAAAAAGTCGTACAGTTAAAAAATGTATGTGTAAACGTATTCACACAAATGCCAAATATTATAACCTTAATGGAGGTCAGGTTAAATACACTGTACATTGCATTAGTTCAGTAAATTTAGCATTTGTTTGTGGAAAGTGCTAAATAAATTAGCGTGCRTATTGTGTGTCTGCATTAAATCAACCATGAAAGTACAAAATGAATGTAAATGTTTATCGTGTTTCACGTGTAGATTTGTAGTGGGGAAAAGAAGAGGTGACTTACAGAGAATACTCAGGTGGAACATCCTTGAAGGCCGGCAGGTCACGTACGTACTCATTATGGAACCATTTGACTTTGAAGTGAAGATTCATGTATTCAGTACTTTTGCATAGGCGATGCTTATCATGCTCTGTAATGCAGATTAAAACAAGAGAACCACATTTTTTTAATGTTTCAGCATAAACTGAAGCCATAACACTTGCACAAAAGTTTTACTCTTATAGCAAAGACTGTTTTTTTTCTGTTGAACATGCTGTTCTGTTAATGTATAAGCAGTATATGTGTTACATGAGRTCTTTTCAACAACATTTTAATGATTCACAAGAACAGAGACATGCACACATTAACAACTAATAGAATCAAAACATCCCAACAAACATAATTCATTGAGCTGCAACAGTTGCCTTTAATAGGATGTTTTAACAGAACCAGTAGTGTTCAGCCTTCAGCTGTCAAAGACCGTATGAATGTGTCCTTCTCTCGTCAAAGAAAGCAAATCATTTAATAACTGCAAGCAAACTAAAGATAGATTGGATCAAAATTCTGTTTGTGCTGATGTGTCTGCTGACTCATTTGGTTCTGTTTGCTGCACACATTTAGGAACAATTAAACGCTTCCGTAGAATTCCACAGAGAGAAAAATGTGTGATGTTGAAGCAAAGAAGGACAAAGATCGAAGGTGGTTAGAAGAGGAAATAATCTAGAAAGACATAAAAAAGGCAGTAAAAAAACGAGAAGAGTTTTGCAATAATTCTAAGTATCAAACATTGAAATGTATCTACAACACAAATAAGACAAGAATATAAATCAAAGGCAAGTCAGCAGGTCAGAACTGCATACAAAAGAGACTAAATTTCCACAGAGGAGAAAAGTACAGACATGCAAACAGTCATGTGAGGCTCTACAAAAAGTAATTAATGCAAACATTCCCGTGGGTGGGACGATGAAATCTGCAGCTGCCCAGCTTTTCAAGCTGGTAACTCTCAACTCTTTATCGACTCCTCTTTCCCTAAGGATTTCTGAATACAATCAACAGAGGTGGGAGTACTGAAACGTTGTACTAGCTCTACTTTCACATAATTTTACCTAAGTAATAGTAAGAATTAGCTGTCCAATAAATTATTCAAGTAAGAGTAAAAAGAGTATTATGGAAAGAGACTAAATGAGTACTGAGTAACTGATCTGATTTAGTATTTAATGCTATGCGCATATTCTGGTGTTTTTAACAAATACGTATTTACAAGAGGTCACATTTCAACATCAACTGTATGCGTCTCTGGGGCATTCCTGTTGTTCTTTATTCAGTGAAGTTACTTACGGTGGAAAGAATATTCAGACATTTTACTCAAGTGGCAATACTTTAAAATAAATAAAGTAAAAAATATGGTGTTGTAAATCTACTCCTAAAAGTAATTTAAAAAGGCTTCTCAAGTAAATGTAATGGAATCAATTGGCCTCATGCAAGAACCGTTCGTACGCACAGATTTGTTCTTAAGTTGTGCGTACGAGTGATTTAGGAGAATTTGTGGCATTCACCAATGTTTTCATATTCTAAGATTTTTTTTCAGATGTGAACAAAATTCACGAGTGGTCCAGACCTGTCGTATATTTTACCAGCAGTCAGTCTGCTGTTATCCAGACGGGTTTTCTTCACTAAGAACTTTATATTTAGTTAGTTTGAAGATATTTTGAGTTGAAAATAAATCACACTCCATAATTATGTTGACAATAGGCTATTCTGCTTGAATTAGAGTTATAATTTTAAATGTAATAATTTAGACTAACAATATAAATTGTCCGTCCGGCCGGCATACCCGCTATCAGGTGCGGGGGCAGCAGCAGAGAGACCCCGCTCTCCCAGCGACACTTTCCAGCTTGTCCTGGGGGACTCTGAGACGTTCCCAGACCAGAGGGGGTATATAATTCCTCCAGCGAGTCCTGGGTTTTCTCCAAAGTGCCAGACTTATTTTGAAAACATTTTAAAATGCTTATTTCAAACCCGCATCTGAGACCACCTTCGACCGCGCAGCGCGCGCGGGGGGGTGGGGTGGGGGGGGCACGGTGCTTCTGAATAAACGAAAAGGATTTAACGCAGTTGTTTATACATTTAGCAGCTCTTTTTTATTCCACAGCTGACCTGCTAAAAATGACAGATTTTCTTTTCTGGATCTCTGACAGACGGACTTCAATCTCTGAACTCGTAAAGTTCTTTTTAATTTTTGCTGTCATTTTTCATGAATGAATGAACACTTCCTTGTATCTGAGGCAGGAAACATAGCCTTATATGGTGTTTTTGGGGTGGTAATTATGCTAATCTCCTCTCGTGTGCACGAGCAGCTGGATACGAACAGGTGGAATTTACGCAGCTCATTTACACAGTTTTCCTGAAGATAGAAGAGTTTGATGAATCTGACGTGACATGTTCGTACGAACCCTTTGTACGAACAAAAGTAAGAGAAATTTAGGATAAGAATATGAACATGTTCTTGCATGAGGCCCAATGTAAGTACGGTTACCACCCATTTCTGATCATCAATACCTGATCAAAATAAAGTATTCACGTGTTATTTTTCTTTTACTAAAAACGTAAAAAATTAAATAAAATAAAATTAAAAAATGCTATCAATGCCTACATTCTTGAAGGAATAATTGAAAGTCATATTGGACTCTGTTTTTAGTCACCCCTGTTGGCTCCCATCAGGTTTCTGCTTATTGAAGTGTTTGTGTGCCTTTTTTATAGCATAGGGACTATGTTTCTCAGCTGGCCTGGGAACACATTGGGATTCCCCCAGATGAGCTGGCCCAAGTGGCTGGRGAGAGGGAAGTCTGGGTCTCTCTGCTTAGGCTGCTGCCCCCGAGACCCGATCCCGGATAAGCGGCCGAAAACGGACGGATGTTGGACTCGTTTTGCAGAGGGATGGCCAGTGAGGATTCAAATAATTAACATATTTTCTTTCTCAGATGAGTGGTGCACACACAAGATAGAGTTAAAGATAAAGTACAAGACTCCGGGCAGTAGAACATCCTGTACATGCCTATTCTGTTAATACTGTTTGTGTTTCTTCGGTTTTACTCAAGTCTAGAATAGTTTTAGTAACTCTTTAAATAATATTATTTTGTCATGGCCACCAGAGGTTAGCGGTTACTTCTAGCTTTACACTCACCTGTATTCCATTAAGAATCAGCACACTTGTCACTCAGAATTCATCCTTCTCAGCACATTTATTCCCTTGTTTTCCATGTTTCTCTGTCAGGTTCTCTGTCAACCTGCAGGCATTGTTTGCTTCACTTAAGTATCAAAAGCCTTGTTTGTTCTTGAGACAGCCCCAGACGAGTCTTTGGTGTTCTGCCTCTACTGTTTTCACAAACAATCAGGGGTTGCAGATGACTCAAAGCTCGAGCCATGGGTGAACAACCCTCTGATTTAAAAATGCTTTAAAAGTTCAAACAGCCAAAACTGCGATGCAAAGAGTTCCAGCACTTTAATAAAACGTGCTCCTGCTTGTTCCAGATAACACAGCATCTAATTACTGTTAGTTTTATTATCAGCAGCACACCTTCTGAAAAGGGGCCTCCGTATTTCTTACTTTACTGCACTTACCTTTTTTGTCATTTGTTTTTTTTTTTTTTTTTTTTTTGGTTTAGAAAATACTGCAGTTTTGAATAGATTGAACAATCCGAGGGGACCGCTGTGTCTGATTGGAAATGGTCAAGTTCTATTTGAAAACACAAATTTCTGATGTAATCAACAATAAACCTCAACCTCATGAAGACTAAATGTATCAACATCAAACACATGATAATGAGTTTAAAAGACTGRAGCAGCGTGGAGTTTAAAGCAGTGTGACAGATTCCGTACAGCAGAAATAAAAGTACGACGTATGCATATATGCACACACAGGCACTGAAATTCAAAAACAAGTTACTTCCACCTGACATCAAAGGAATGTTTGAATCTAAAGCCTTTCACCCTGGCTGCCATTTCTTAATTCTGATAAGTGCTTTGGTGCTTACTCTGTCAAATAGCACGCCCATCATGCTAAACTCCCCTCCAGGCTCAGAAAGAAATATTTACACAAGTATAATTAATAGTATACCTGTGAGTRAAAAAAGCAGAAAATAATAATTTTACTATTACACCCATTCAGTCACTCAGAGAAGTTAGTTTATTTTCAGCTGTTACCTGCAAAAGGATTGGACTTACAAGAAAGTTCTTAGCACTTAGCACAAAACGTAAAGAAATTTGTGAATGGTAGAATATTTCTTTGTTGTAACAATGCATCTTGACAATAACGCCTAGGGTGTATTTACACCAGGAAAATCCTTTGGTCTGCTTATTTGGTCCAGACTCAAAGCAGATTTTATTTTATTATTATTATTATTATTATTTTTGTTTGATGCAGTTCACATTTACATTGTGCTTTTTGCAAGTGGACTATAATTTATAAATAAAGCCAAATGTGACAAACATCAGTGCCATTGGACAGAAACCATGGGGGCGGGACAAAGCACAGATTCARAAAGAACGATGGTGCTGTTAATACAATTGAAATACCATTTAGAATTTCAAGAGCAGTTCACTCAAAGATGGTTTTGCGATGAAATACTTACAATTTTGGTACAGTGTTGGCAAATGTGTGCCGCAATCCAAATTAAACTAGATGCTCTGCCTTCCCTAACCCACAATGGCTCATTATTTGTAGCGCAGTGGTAGCGTTAGCAACACTAAAGAGCTAATTGTTACCATGATGCTTAGCAACAATGACTCATGAAATCCAAAAAGGTGCATGTTTCCTGYAGTTGGTTCGATTCAMCTACTTGAACTACTACAACTATTCAACTACTACAACTTCAKTTCGGTCTGTATTCACACCAGAAGCAAACCRCACCAGAGTTCATTTGGAAGCGGACTGAGACCACCTCAAAAATGGGTCTCTGCCCGGTTGGTCCACACCAGGGTTTGCCTAAGTGTTCTCACACCTGCATAAAAGGCCCGGACCAACAGGGAAAACAAACACTGCTCTGTTTAAAGCAGACCAAATGTGTCAGGWATGAATGCACTTTTCTACCCRGCACTTGATTGACAGCACCTGGGGGTTACCAGAAGCTCAAAACAAAAGTCGATGACAAC